TCCAAAAAATTGGTCTTTGAATGTAATATCTGTAACATGGAATTGTACCCATGATTCTCAGAATAAGCAGGCATGCAAGAAACTTCTTTTCGATAACGTGATAATGTATAGCTTTTGATTAATACTTTAATATTGGAGTTATCAAACCGCAAATTATCTTCAGCAATAAAAGAAAAAAAACTTGGTAACTGTATAAATTTTGTGCATACATCAATGTTTATGTTTGGGAACTATACAGCATTAAAATTCATTTCTCACACCCAGTCATCTACCAGTATTTACACTTACCCATCGCAATAATGAGTGCTATTGAGTTCAAAAGGAAAAGATATGGTTGAATGAAATAAATATCTAATAACATTTCTTTAATTGTTGTTATTTAGGTGTGTTATCCTTTGTTAGCTTACACACTAAGCGTGACATTGATCACACTTTTAAAACCAAAACAAAGACCAAACAGGCTAACTTGACCAAAACAAAACATAGTGTGTCCTTCATAGTTTAAAAATAATATATGCACATATTGGACATGCTAAGCATGTTGTGTTGGAATGTTGTGTTGGAATGTTGTGTTGGCATGTTGTGTGAGAGTTATCACCTTTGGTCAGCCCTTGTGGATCATGGTGGTTTTTGTTGTTGATGTTGTTTTTTAATTCTGGTTGACTTTTCATTATTAAATGAATAAAGGGAGGTAAGTTTCTAAAGAAAATGTAGTGCTGCCTGAGTGGAAGAGTATACCAGGATTAACTGGGCTAATAGGGTTTTAAAAAGGTGACATTTGAAGTGTTCACCCTTCATCAGAGCGACTGGGCTAGCAAACGAATTGTCACCTTTTAAATTCATCACTATGGCAAATTTACATTATGAACTCAGTTGATAATACAAAATTATATTGATAATTATGTGATGTTGCCATTTAAATACTACTTATAACCTAGGGGCACCTGTCAGTGCCCTTATTTGCGACTGCCATTTTCTTTCATAACTTATATATAGTAACTGTAAGTTGTTCTACTGCTTCCCTTTTTAGACTTTCTGAAGTTATCTCTGATTCAAGGGTTATTTTCTCAAACCCAGGAAACTCTATACAAGGTAGGAGGACTTGCTGCTCTTTTTTTCTCCCATTTTTAAAACTTGCCTTCATTTTGTCAATCTGTAAATAACCCTTTCTCCTTACAATATCAACACAATATCAACCAGATAAGTGATGAGAATAATGAAATCTATAAATTTGGGGATGATTAGTTGATCCAATTCTAAATTCTCTGAAGTAACATTATAAGGATTGTGTGGTTGGGAGTCTTAGGAGAATTACAAATTTGGTGTGGGAGTTAAAAGATTAATAATTTATTTGCTGGGAATAATTGTGTCCTGTTTGCATTTGTTTAAAATTCTGCATGCTCTTATTTCACTCATATCTATGAGAGTATTTATTATTTTGCCTGGTATTTATGTTATATCAAGAACTATGCATGCATGATATTATACCTATTTAATTATGTTGTGATTATATTTGGCTATAAACTTGTGGAAATACCAGAAATACTTATATTAATATAATAATGGTAATGGCATTGGTACAATTTTGGGTCTGTTCATGGAACTGCAGGTGTTGTATGATGATCAAACAGTAAAATGTGCACTGATTTTACTAGTTTTGATCAATCTACCAAAATGAAGTTATTGTGATGCTCATTACATAGATGATCTACTTTTGAGAGTGGAGGTGTGTGATATTCTTTGGAAGCCCTGCAGTTATTTAAGTGTTTGTCTGCTTGCTGTCATCATTGTAGGGCTGCAGTGGCTAAGAGAAGTTTCATGTGAGTGTATATATTGACCATTCTTGCATGTGAGTCCAGGTGATACTGCATGTATGGAGCTTCTCAGTTTTATCAATTGAAGAAGTTGTCTCAGGGAAGCTGGCGGAGAGTTTTTTCTCTCAGGTATAACTGGCTTGTGGGCTGTGTTCCGCAGATTTGTATGGTGTTTAGTGTTTTGGTGAAGTGTTAGGGAAACCTGATGTTATGCTGAGAGATTTTTCACTTGTGGTTGATCTGATAACACTTGTAAGCATTATGTTAAAGGAGATTGCGCACTGGTTTTTATCAATTATGCAATTGTTGGTCACCCACTTACATGTATAGGGCAGTACATGACGTATTTAAAATCCCCAAGTACGTGTGTTGCATGGTGCTTGTGGATGATGATCATTCTAGTTTATCACCCACTACATTGTTGTTTCAACATTGTTATCAATAGTTTGTCCTTGTGGGAGTGGTGATGGATGATGCCTCAGCAATGTTGCTATAACAACTGTTATTTTGAAATTTCTATGGTCATTCTAGCAGTGGCCAATTGAAGGATGTGCATACTCAGTCTGATCATGCAATTGTATAGATGTATATCTTTCTTTGTAAAAGGATCTTGGTAACCTTATGCCCAAGATTGTCTGGTAGATTATTTAAGGTGCTAGGTGATGAGAGATTTGAACTTCCAAGCACTGCAACCCCAGGTGCTAGCTGTGTTTGGATGTTTGTTTTGCTGTAAATAATTATGGGTTAGGGGCAGCTAGAAAATATGGCTATGGCACTGGTGACAAATGGATAGTAATGCTGCACTTATCCTTACAATAGTGGCCAGAGCTTCTTTTTACTGTCGGACTTTGTAATTGTTTGAAAGTGGTGGTGTATACCAAGACTGCAGTTTATTTTGATGTCTTGGGCTTTGTTTGTGTAAGGATTAATTCACTGGAACACCAATTGGAGAGGTAAAAATAAGTGTCACTCATGCCGAATTAATCCTTTGGGTGGATAATTTACAACTGAAGGTTGTTGCTGAGAAAATTTACTAATTCAGTCCGACTTCTCCTCTCTTACCCGGGAATATGGAAAAGGTGTAGTCACAGAGTTGGTTATTTTGGTTGACAGAATAATAAATGTCAGTGGTTGACGACCTGCCAGCAGTTTGTGGTAGGGGTGCTAGATATGAACCTAGTAATTAATGGCCTCGCTCACCATAGATCTATAGTTGCTGGTCCTGGCTTAGCGGAGGGTGGAATTGGCTGAAGGTCTAAAATTTAACTTCTCTTGGGGATTCTGATTTTCTTCTTTGTCACATGTACATGACAGGGCATAAAAATATCTTTCTTCTGGTAAAATAATGTTTACCAAAACCATTTGAAAACCTCTTAGCAGAATTAAGCTCTGTTGTTAAAAATTATATTCCTACTGGCCTCATGAGAGTGCATGGCGATTGGATGATGCTTGTGCAGGTCTGTTGCATGCCTGTGATCACATTTAGCTGCTTTTTCATTGCAGTTTCAGTTGCAGATGGAGGTTGCATCCCCTTTCTTTTGATACTGCATGTAGAACAAGGTTGTTTGTTGGGTTTCTTTGCCCTTATTGTAGTGGTAACTGCAAGAGGCGGATTTTGCTGTTAGACACACATTTTTGCCAGTGGACACATTTTTTTTATGAAGGTGATAATATTACTAAGACTTTTAAGTCTGTTGACTTAGAGGTTATTGTTTCTCATTTCAATGAACTGAAAAACCACGTTTTGTACTGGTACATGAGCTTCAATGACTCTGTATTGTATTGGTGACAATTAGAGTTACCTTCATCTGGTAGAGTGAGTACATAGCTTTAAAAGGTGCATTTAATATCAGTGACTGTGCAATCTGTCTTTTAGGGCTGTACTGGTCTAATCATCAGTAAGTAAAGAAACCATGAATTGACGGAGTTTTAGAAATGCTTTTAAAGTCCCCAGGTGCGATAATGAAATAGCGACTAGGGAGGAAATCTACAAATTCCTTTCAAGCTGCTCCTCCATCCAGGAATGTGGTTGCTGGGAGGGAAACCTGGTATCATGTTGGGTGATATACCTGTGAGGAATTACATTTAGTTTTGCACTGAAAGGAATGATTAACAGCCGGTATTGCCTTATCCCATGAAAATTGGGATAGTTAGGGTGTGTAACAGGAGTTTTGGCAAGTTGACCCGTAACCTGTCTTTCTAGATAGTGACTTCTTGCTGTAGGCTGCTATTCAGTGATTGTTGTAAACACGGTGACCTGAAGTGATATAATTTCCGTATTTGTTGTGGTGATATTTCCTGGTCTAGTCACGGAGTTGGTCTATTAACTGACTTGGTAACAGACTGATTCCCATATTGACGACAATTTTCCCAACACAGTGTAGTTTGCTTGTGATTAAATATGTAGTTTGCTTGTGATTATTTAGTTTTTGTCCGGGTTGGGATGGTGATGGATGATGCTTTTGCAATTGTGCTTCAAGTGACCAAGTTATAGCAGTGATCTTTGTAGGGTGGTAAATGGAGGTTTTGCAGTCTTGTTTTGATGTTTCACTGTAGTTTATATATTTGTGTCTGCTTGTGGATCGTTTTGGAGCTTTGGAGGTTTTAAGGTTTAGGTATAATGGTTACGCTGGCAATGATTGCTTTTATTATTAGATACTTCTTAGGCGAAATAAGGTATTTTATTAGTTATGTCCTAAATTTTAAGATTAAGTTTCTCTTTTTAGATTAGTTTTTTATTTTAGCAGTATAGTATATATCATTTAATTATTTTAGTGATTTGTAGGTCCACATCAGCCTTCCTGGCTGCCGATTTGTAACCTGCATTACCAAACAAAATGATGATGATGATGATTAAGAATCAAACATCAACCAGCCAAAACTGACCGGGTCTGAGGCCCTAGAGAGGAAATAAAAACTTATTTCCCCTTAACCTTTCAAATCGCTTTTCATTTCTGCTGTTTATGTCTCTGGTTGTTACTTTGTAAACTGAAAAACAAAACTCTTTCTTAATCTAGAAACTGGGTTGAAATGAAAAATCTCAGATTAAATCTCTTATTAGGTTCTTCCGTTGGTGTTCCTTGCTCAAAAGAATTTAGAAAATGACATCACGATTTGAATCCATTCTCGGTCTCAATTGGTTATCGGGAGTTTTTTTTTTCGAATTGGTTTGATTAACATTACTTAATGTCAATTCTCTGTTTGACAGGTCATCCTGGAAAAGTTAGTATTATGGCTACGGCTACTTCGCCATTTGCGTCTACGAAAGAAACTACCAACTATGCAAGGCTATGCCGCCTCCTGGTGGATGTTGGATCTCAGGTGCTTCGGTCCACTTTTGACAAAATACATCCACCAGCGACTCTACATACAGTTTTGGGAAGTACCTCAGTGCATTACGCCAAATTGCACTCACTATACAGAGGGAGGAAGAAAGTGCTGAATCCCACGCAATGGGGAAAGTTGTACCCCACTCACGCACCCGTGTCTTCTGCAGCCTTCGATATCACACTTCTAACGGTGCTTCTTAGAAATATCTGTGGTTTGGGCCCTCCTGCCAATGGATGGGATCGTCTTCCCCTAGCTGCAAACATAGGCATCGCAGATGACATCGCCAGAGTTAAATATTACAGGAACACTGTATACAGCCATGCTTCTCAAGCCTCTGTGGATGACAGAAGTTTCAGTGCTTACTGGCAGGAGATACGAGAAGCTTTGGTGAGACTGGGAGGAGCTCATTTTAGAGCTGAAATCGATTATCTCGAGCACGACTGCATGGATCCAGATATCGAGGAGCATTATCGTGAACTGATGAAACAATGGAAAAAAGACGACGACAGCATCAAAGACAAGCTTGAAGAAATTGAAGGTACGAAAAACATTGTCCGATGCCAATGTGAATGAATCAGAAGGCTACAAAAGTAGATATTCTAGTTAACACGGCGGTGTAGGCTAGCTCATTATGTTTTCATTTTGGTCGGAACTACTCTCATATTTGGAAGGTTACTAGCGTTATGTGTGGAATATGATGAAATTACCCAAATGTTAACATTTGGCTACTCGTGTACAACTTCTGGAGTGCATTTTTGTGATTTCTGGGCGTCTAATTAAGTTTTATCTATTCTGAATAGACTAGATATTGATATACGAATCATTGTTTTATCTGCACCTAAACGTGAGGCTGTGATATAAATATGCTCATGAAACTGCGCATACCTTTCGAAATTTTCAGGTTCGCTGGAAAACATGAGAAGCATTATGGAGAGAAACTTCAGAGACACAAATGACAAGATAGAGATTGAAATGAAAGAGATGAAAGAAAAACTTAGTAGTCTGACGGCCTCAGTTGAAAATCGCACACAAGAAGGTTAGTTGGTAGAAAGAGATATCACAGAAAAAAATTATTAAGAGCGACACAGCTCTTGTGCATGGCGACAGTAATAGCTGGATGTCGGCCAACACAGCATATTTTAGTACTTTAGCGATCTAAGAGAATACCCTGGCCACCACTCACACTGACCATGCATGGAGATACTATGTAATATGTGGGATGCTACGGAAAGTAAGATATTGTGCCCCGGCTATCTCTCGGATTTGATGGTGTTTTGGCAGCACTCATACATATGTATGATCGTGGGCCAGATATGTTATCGTCTTTTTTTTCGTATTACCTTCCTCATTATGATCCTAACTTCCTAATAGGGTTAGATGTGACCCGCATACTTCTCAAAAAATAATAAAATCCGTCCTCCCGTGGAGTATTCAATTCTACATGGGAAAATATCCGTATAAGCCGTATCAAGAAAAGTGGCTCAACATTGTTAAGATCCTAAATGGCCATGTTTTAACAATGGCACAACAGCTTCGTAACACATTAGGGATTTGTCGAAGTTTTCGATTAGCATACGAGCGGGAAATTTAAACGCCCGGAAAGACTGGAGGAAAAACAATTTCTCCCTGGAGAGGGTGATACTGGTAGGATTCGTTCGGTGCAAATAACGATGATGCGGGGGACGGGTAGGGGCGACGGTTGCATAAAGGTGAACAATATTAAAGCATAGAAGGCGGTTGCTTACAACTATGATATCGCCACTGTTTGCTTTTATCTTGTTTTAAGCTGGCCAAAGATATATCTGACTATTTATCCAGAGACGCACTACGCTGGGCACTGACGATGAGAGCATGCATTTAGCCAAGGAAGCGAGGCGTTGGCCATGCAGTCATAAACTAAGTGCTGTCCCTCTCTATTCTGTCCGATCATGATTTGCCAAACAGACAGCGAAAAGAACATTTGAGGGGAGAGAATAGCAGCGAGAAAGTTGGAGGGGGAAACATTCACTTTCTCGCTCGACGAACTATCGAATCACGACTTTGCTGCTCTCAGATTTATCTTTCATAGTATGAGAGCAGTTCAAATCTCGCGCGCGCTACGCAAGTCAGACTTGATTCTTTGTGTGCATAATAAGTAATGGTAATAGGACTGAGTGGAGTCCAATTTGGTCTGTAACCATACGAGTAATAACAAAATCGGACGACCGCGCAGCGGAAGTCCGATTTGTTTATCGCGAGTATGATAGGCAAACTGTCCGATAAAAAATTTTGCGATTTGGCAAAAAAAGTACGCAGAGAGAGGTTGAAAATACATCAACAACGTCAAAAGTACGCGAATCTTTGAAAATCGCAAAAAGTTTAATTTTGAAACTCCCGCGAAAATAGGAAACCATTAGGTACGAGCAGTCATTCGTGCGACAAGCACACTGGAGAGCGGAACTGCGTGAAAATCTTGAGGTGACCACTTTCCGACCACCATTGGTTTTTACTTTTTTCGCTCGACGGACGATTGAATTGCGAATCCGCAGCTCTCAGATTATGTATCTACCAAAGAAAAGAAGCATTCAAATACCGCGCGTGCTAAAAAATTCTTAGTGTGCGTCTTGAGTAAAATGAGTTAGAATAGGATGCATGTGGTTATTTTACATTTCCTGAGGAAAAGACTGTGGGCAAAACCTCCCACTTCATCGCAGGCGAGCCTCCGGTTTTCTGCAGCATTTTAGACGAAACCTCGTGACAAAGCAAGCAGAAAGGCGTTGTTTGGTTTTCATTTATTAGTTCGTAGTCTCGTTCTATCCCGAAAAAGCCTTGCTCAGAGTACGGCTCTGATAGGAATATTTATCTCTCGAGTAATTTATTTTACGATAGAGTTTCGCTGTCAGACATCGCTCAAGCCGAACAAACAGAGTAGGTTCAACTGAATTCATGATCTAAATGGCTTTTCATCAGTAAGCTTGAATCATACACTAAAAACCTTTTTGCATCGTCCAAGTAATTTCTTTGGCAACGGTATCGTACTCATTCGCATATTTAAATTCAGTGCCGAATAACAGAGAGGGACCACAATTTTCAACGCTGCATTCATTAGATTTCTTTCTCTTTTTGCTACTGCTAGGTGTTTTTGATCCAACTGAGCTTATCAATGGAATTCGCCAGCTGTACAAGACTCGCGAGGGATGGCTCTCACCATTTCCATGGTGTGAAGAGTTTCAGTTTTTTCTTGGCAATATTTTTACAAGGCTCAAAGTGGTCAGAAGAAAGAAAACGAGAGGAGAAATCACTGACGTATTTGTTGAGATGTCGTCAATACTAGACCCGTATGAAGAGTGTTCAGCGCCGAGAACAGTGTTGATTGAAGGAGAACCTGGTATGGGAAAAACCACCTATTGTAAAAAGTACGCCTACGAATGGGCCACAAAACAGCAAGCACCTCAGGGCTGCGGCTCAACAGCATTTAAATTGGTATTGTTGCTGAAATGTCGAGATATCCACTCTGACGTTTGGGAAGCCATTGATGATCAGCTGCTGCCCCTAGGCATCGATGAAAAAGTCAAACAACAATTTTTTCAGTTTATTCGTGAAAATCAGTCCAGCATTTTATTAATATTGGATGGATTGGATGAGTTACCATCCGGGAAATTGTCGATGTTTTCCAAATTAATTGAAGGAAGAGAACTCCCCAGATGCCACATAGTTGCAACAGCAAGACACGAAGCTGGAAAAGAGGTGAGAAAATGTTGTGACGCGCTGCTTCAGATCGAAGGATTCACTGAAAAGCATGTGAAAGAATTTGTCACCAAGTACTTTAAAGAAAGGACGGATTTAGCCACCAAGCTCTCGCAACGGATTTCGCGAGATAAAAACCTGAGAGAAATAGCGGCCAATCCTCTAAACACAGCGCTTCTTTGCCTTTTATGCGAAGAGTTTGAGGGCACACTCCCCGAAAGCAGAGCTCAACTGTACTTGGATATGGTTGAATGTGTTTTGAGAAGATATAGAAAAAGGGAGGGACTACTAGAAACGATCGAAGACTTGACAAATTATTACAAACCGCAATTGAATCACCTTGGAAAGGTAGCGTTGAATGGTTTACTTGACGATAAGTTGGATTTTAATGAAAGTGAAGTGAGAAACCTGACTGAATTTGGATTTCTGTCAGTGCAGCCTGGTGGCAGCAAACTGAGACAAACACTGTATTATGCCTTCTTACATAAAAGTTTTCAAGAATTCTTTGCAGCATTCTTCATTTGTTCTCAGATTCAAAGCAAGGAAATGAAACCTGAAGAACTAGTTTCCGATCCAAGGTATTTCGTTGAACTTAAACAAATACTTTTGTTTTCATGTGGAATTTTGGCCATGAAATGCGACGAACAAGTTGTGGCTCTTGTAAAGAGTTTAACAAATGAAGTCAACAAAAATGAAGGCCGTGGTGCAAAAATTGTATTGGAGGCCATCAACGAATGTAAAAAAGAAAAAAGCAATTTTCACTCGCATTTATCGAAGTCGTTTGGAACTGGTTTGATTCTGACCAATTTGGATTTGTCTTACAAACGTCTTACAATTAGTGAATCGGGTGCTACATGTATTCCTGAGGCAATCAAAGTGGACAAGAGGGTAACTATTTTGCATTTGTCTGACAATAGTATTACTGAGGGAATCATAGTGAACAAGGCGCTAACCGATTCGGATTTGTATCACAATAGTATTAGTGAATCGGGTGCTACATGTATTGCTGAGGCAATCAAAGTGAACAAGACGCTAACCAATTTGGATTTGTCTCACAATGATATTAGTGAATCGGGTGCTACATGTATTGCTGAGGCAATCAAAGTGAACAAGACGCTAACCAATTTGGATTTGTCTGACAATGATATTAGTGAATCGGGTGCTACATGTATTGCTGAGGCAATCAAAGTGAACGAGACGCTAACCAATTTGAATTTGCGAAGGAATGGTATTAGTGAATCGGGTGCTACATGTATTGCTGAGGCAATCAAAGTGAACAAGACGCTAACCAATTTGAATTTGTCTGACAATGATATAAGTGAATCGGGTGGTACATGTATTGCTGAGGCACTCAAAGTGAACAAGACGCTAACCAATTTGGATTTGTCTGGGAATCGTATTAGTGAATCGGGTGCTACATGTATTGCTGAGGCAATCAAAGTGAACAAGACGCTAACCAATTTGGATTTGCGAAGGAATCGTATTAGTGCTGCGGGTGCTACATGTATTGCTGAGGCAATCAAAGTGAACAAGACGCTAACCAATTTGGATTTGTCTCACAATGATATTAGTGAATCGGGTGCTAGATGTATTGCTGAGGCAATCAAAGTGAACAAGACGCTAACCAATTTGGATTTGTCTCGCAATGATATTAGTGAATCGGGTGCTAGATGTATTGCTGAGGCAATCAAAGTGAACAAGACGCTAACCAATTTGGATTTGTCTCTCAATGGTATTAGGGAATCGGGTGCTACATGTATTGCTGAGGCAATCAAAGTGAACAAGACGCTAACCAATTTGTATTTGCAAATCAATGGTATTAGTGAATCGGGTGCTACATGTATTGCTGAGGCAATCAAAGTGAACAAGACGCTAATCAATTTGAATTTGTCTCACAATCGTATTAGTGAATCGGGTGCTACATGTATTGCTGAGGCAATCAAAGTGAACAAGATGCTAACCAATTTGGATTTGTCTGGGAATCGTATTAGTGAATCGGGTGCTACATGTATAGCTGAGGCAATCAAAGTGAACAAGACGCTAACCAATTTGAATTTGTCTGGGAATCGTATCAGTGATACAGGTGCTACATGTATTGCTGAGGCAATCAAAGTGAACAAGACACTAACCAATTTGGATTGTTCTTGGCATTGTACGTCTAAGTTAGGCAATAAAAGCAGGGTTTAAACAGCTTTGAAGCAGATAGGGACTGTCTTTAAAGTAGGCAGGTGCCCTTTAAAAATTGAGGGCCGAAGGCCCGAACCTCTCAATCTGGAAAAGAAATCGTCTCGCAATGATGCATACTTAATCTATTATAATAAAAGAGAATGGTACTCTGGGAGAATTTGTTTATTTCACTGTTGTTTTCGGAGCCTCTTTTTATCCAACAGTTACAAGTTAAAGGCCCATTTCCAACCTTGATGCAACTGGCGCCGTGACCCAATTTGGTGTAACACGAAATTCCCAGATCACTGAAAACCTTCTAAAATCTTCTTTCTCAAGAGCCATCCTGAACATGTAGTCAACAGTCTTACGGTAAATGCATTCGCCGTTCGTCATTTCACAGTTTCCTTACAGTATTTTGAACTTTGTCTTGTAGAATCCGAAGAAAAATGTTTTTAAGTGTCACGCTTGGATCTCTTGGTACTCTGTAAAGAGTCGGCAATATTCAAGTTTTTTTCACTTTCTAGAAGCGCTTGAGGATTCTAAATGAAGACAAAATACTTCCAATAGAAACTGGTATTTTTCAAAGAGAAATATGGAAAAATATCAGACTGCCGGACGTTTAGTTATTTGAAGACCGTGTCCGGTAGTGTCTGGTGAAAATTTTCTTAGTGTCACGCTTAGATCTCTTCGCACTCTGTGTACAAGGTCAGCGAAACGGAGAACGTTGGCATTTTTTCACTTTTTAGAAGCGCTTGAGGATTGTAAATGAAGGTAGAATATTTTCCAATGAAAAATTAGTATATTTAAAAGAGAAATATGAAGTTATTTGAGGATCGTGTCTAGTCGTGTCATTGAAATTTTAAGTGTCAAGCGCTTGGATGGCTTCGTACTCTGTATACAGGGTTAGCGAGAAAAATCAAGTTAGAAATTTTTAGGCTGCCTGGAAGCGCTTGAGGATTGTACATAAAGGTAGAACTTTTTCATATAAATATTTTTTGGATTTCGAAGAGAAATATGGAAAAATTTCGCACTGCCGGACTGTTAATTATTTTAAGTGTAGTCACTTCATTGCAGGAACTCGAGCGTCAGCGACACTGACAGTTTGCGTCACAATTCTTATTTGCTGCTTTGCATGGACAACAACCCCGACCATTCTTTCGAGCGCAAGTTCCTCTCCACGGGCAGGAAACTTCAACTGACCCTTGGTCCTATTTAACAAGGATGGCAAACTTCAATTTAAAAAATTGATGAATGAATGAAAACGTGGTGGATCAACATTTTCACCTTCTTCGAAATGCTCGCAAGGATTTTCGCCTTTCTCTTTAGCAACAACCGATCCATAAGCGTTTACTGCCTCGGAATCTAGTAAATCAATAGATTCATCCAATTCCATACCGCATTAAAACGTATAGAACTGTTTTAAACAGAACTATTTTGATAAGCTCTTCAGATTCATCGGAGGAAAAGGCAGAAGGTATTTTGAGACGTGACAAGGTAAAAATAACTGAACAATTAGAGGGGCTATTTAAACAAAAGCGGTGGTTCAAAACAAAAACAAACGACCGCATTGCATCAAGGTTGGAAATGGGTTTTTAACTTCAGCTTATAAAGTGATAAAGTGTGAAACTGGCACTTTTTGTAGTTCATGGAAACTCAAAGTCGGAGCCGCAATCAGAATCTTCGACATCCAAATCTGGCAGCTCCAAGGCTTTGGAGATTTCCTCTACCTCTTCCTCAGCAGAATAGAATACCTGGGCGTCATCATCAGTTGCCTGTACACCAACATCATGTTATAATACCACAGGAACATCCTCATTTGCAGATCCTGGATCTGATGGTGGTGCTGTTGAAAACCTTTGGAGGGTACTTGCGACGAGGTTTAGATGCCAACCAGGACGAAACAGCCGAATCAATGAGATCTTCAAATTTCTTGCTCCCTACTGCTGGGCCATTGATCAAAATGTGGAGAAGAGTGTTAAGCATGTCATTCTGCATTCTACTGCGGAGTCTGGTTAAGTTTTTAGAAGCTTCAAAGCACTCGCTCCTCTCTAAGGCCACACATCCGACACTGAAAGAGAGACCACTGCATTTGCGTAAAGTGAACAAGACGCTAACCAATTTGGGTTTGACTTACAATGCTATTGGTGATGAGAGTGCTACATCGATTGCTGAGGTAATCAAAGTCAACAAGACGCTAACCAATTTGAATTTGTATGGCAACTGTATGAGATCCTGATGCTACGTCTATTGCAGGGACAATTAAAGTCAACAAGACTCTGACCAATTAAGATTTGTGTAACAATGGTAACAAATGTGAACAAAACCATGAAACTACTTGAACCGACTTCTGGAGGAATAATTGAAAGGATTGTACTTTCCCTTTTGTACTCTTTCTTTAAGGTAACTTTTCCTTTTTGTGAACGCATGGCAAAACTCTTGAGCTTTCTTGTAGTTGTCCTTAGTTGCATTTTGATTAGATCTCGTTTATAAGCGCAAAATTTACAAATTTACACAAATCCCAGGCGTTTTGATCGCGACGGGAAAACCAGCGAAATGACGTCCTGAACTTGTTGGGGAGAACGGCAACTCTAACACAGGAAGTCGACATAAAGTCGTGTCCAGACTATCCGTGTGCTTTCCCGTTCTGAAATGACGTTCCCGTCCTCTTGCTAAATCACTCTAATCTTCGTTGAAATATCAGGTCATAAATTACGCAGTGTGGAGAAGATCAAAATTAAAGAATAGAGTTTGGCACTATAGTCATCACAGACATATCGCGTTGCTTAAAAAGACACAAGTTGAAATACGTTACAGTGTTCTTTACAAAGCAACATGCACACACTCTGAAAGAATTCTTATAGTTTCTCCCGAGATCTTACACACGGAACACGATGAACTAGACCCCCCACAGGACGAATGCTCTTATTTCAGTGCCTCTAGGCAAAACGGAAAGCATCCCTAAAGGTTGACTTAAGCTTTAGGCGTCTTTAATTGTAAACCGAAATATCCAAAAGCTAATAGTTACCTTTCATGAATCTTTAATTGAACATAAGGTGAACTTTAATAACGTAAATCTTTTAGCATCCTTTAATTGGTCTCTTTTTTGGCACAAAAGGTTTTTAATTAATATACATTTAATTAACCTTTGAGGTGAGAATTAAACGAGTCTCGCTGTTTTGACATCCTTAATTGACGCACTAAAGATAGTCTAATTGTAATCTGAACTGTCAATAGGAAATGCATCACAAATTAGCCGGCACTTGCGTCGGACAGGAATAGCAAATTTTGTCAAAATATCTGAATTGAAAGCAACGGATTTTCATTTTCGCATCTCCTTTATAAAACGCATGGAGTGCGATGACAAGAAAGGATATATTTACTGCGCTCATTGTAATGACTTCGTGTCACGTTCAACTTTCGAAAGGCATGAGCGAAAACGTAACAAGTCGAACTTGACAGATACTTTCGGGTCGACTTCAAATTCCCGTGATTTGTTTCAAGAAATTTCAAGTTCATCTGACGATGAAGGTTAGTTACCTTAAATATAGAGAAGGTAACTGCTATTCAGCGTTGCTTGAGGCGATAGACCACTGCCAACTAATTTTATCTTTTACACCAAATCCCTACAGGACCCACAGATTTTGTTCAGGAAGAGCGTCTTGAAATCGAAGAAGAAGTTGATAATTCATGGTCAAACGCTGAGCAGGTGAGAAAGGAAGAACGCGGAGTTTGTGCATTAACTTTTATCATGCAAATTGTAAAAGTTTGTAGTCAAAAAACAGGACAATTTTGCGAAAGCTATGTCATCTACTAATGATCTTTAGTTGTTGTTTAATGCTGCCGTTCATTCGTTTGTTTGTTTTTTTCATTAACATAACTCTTAAGAGTACTTTATGAGAGGTGAAACAGATTTTCCGTTCTGAAATTCCTGTCTTCTATATAGCCAAGGGACTTGCCGAAATCCGAGGCAGCATACTCTACCAGCGACAACGAATATGGGGATCTAAACATTACCGATGATGAAAATCAGAGCGACCGTTGCAGTTCGAGCTCTGACGGTGACAAAGAAATCTGGAATGGTGTGGTGCCTGAGATGATATCGAGAGATATAGAAAACGCCCCGCCCCTTCCAGAAGCTCAAGGCCGCCAAACAGCACTTCAAAAAGTAAATTCATTGATTTTCTGGTTCGTTTACTTTCTGCTAATCTGGCAGTTGGTCTTGAGAAAAGACTTTCCCATAAATTGTGAATTGTGGAGAAAATGAGAACATCGTCGAATGGCCATTAAAATTACTCAGTGCAAAACGAAAGCCCGAAAAAATTTGCTGGGGCAACAAAGTGGTATCACCCACTAAAGCATTTTACTGAGACTCGATTACTTTGATGTTATTAGATTTTGCACGGTTGATCCTATGCACAATCTCTTTCTCGGAACTGCCAAAAGAATGTTCAAACTATGGACAGACTCAAAACTTTTTTCGCCCAGCCAACTGAACGAAATCGAGGAAAGGATAAAATCAGTCGAGGTTCCTAGTGACATCGGACGATTACCGATGAGAATAACCAGTAATTGTGGTTCATATACAGCAGAGCAGTGGAAGAACTGGACACTCATTTACTCTATTTTCTGCCTTCAAGGTATTCTACCAGAGGAACATTTCCGGTGCTGGCAGACATTTGTTTTAGCATGTAAATATTTGTGACAGTCCGCTATTACGAAAACAGAACTTGATATTGCCGACGAATTGATTCTAAAATTTTGCAAATCAGTGGAGACTCTTTATGGAAAAGATGCCATTACCCCAAATATGCACTTGCACAACCATTTGAAAGAGGTTATTCTCGACCACGGACCAGTTACTAGCTTTTGGTGTTTTAGCTTTGAAAGATTTAATGGCATACTGGGCAGTACAACAACAAACAAAAGATCCGTCGAACTCCAAATCATGAGAAAATTCATACTGACAAGATTCCTAAAGGACATGACACTACCAAACGAGTTTCAAGGAGATTTTCTTAAATTTTGTTCACCTGAAGAAAGTACAACCCCAGATGATAAAGATGTTTCCCTTCCGACTGGCCGACGGTCTACGAATTTTATAATATTTCCACAAATGTGCCACTACGTGGAATAAACTGGATGAATAAATGGGGGATTAATGTTTCGTCATGCTTCAAGCTCGTTTCTTTTGATACCGATGATTTGAAATTACTGACCGCCGTCTATAGAGTGATGTACCCAGAGAGGCGAATTGAAGAGAGTAATCTCGCAGAAACTATATATAAATTTAGCTCGTTTAAAATCTGGTCAACTACGTATGGGTCCAAAATGCAACCAAGAGGAATACGTTCTGCCAAGATACTAGCATCCTGGCCAGCAAAGAATGGACAAGTCCTTCAAGACGCGTTTGTTTTATCTCCAGGCATCGTCCAGTATTATTTTACACATTCAATCAAGCTTGGAGAGGAACATGTCACGCACTACTTTGCATCTGTAAGATGGTTTTTAGCCCTTGATGAATCTTATTTTGCGAACCCAATTAAAATCTATAAAAATAAATTCCATCCAGGGGGGCCAGCATCGTTTATGCCACTCCAGAGGGTATTTTCCAGGTTTGCCTCTGCTGAACTTGAGCTGGAGGGGCAACAAACAATTGCTGTTGCACAAATAACAAGGAATGTGTTCTTATAAAAATATCGCACACAGGCATTCACAATCATCCCTGAATCAAAACGTAAAGGAAGCATCGTATTAGAAATAGTAAGTATCTTTACACAGAGGAAAGTCCTAATTGCTTTTAAAAGTTTGTGGTAATAAGAATATTCGACTGTATTTCTAAAGTTCAGCTGGTTACTAAGTAAATATCCAATAATTTCATACAGTTAAGATTGCTTTTAGATTAAGTGTGATCTCCCTCAAAAGATTCCACTTAAGGTTCCAGCTTTCATCTTTTATGAACAAGTAGATTCTGTAGTATGCTTTCCAGTACAAGTAAGTAGTAAGTAAGTAGTATGCTTTCCAGTACAAAAGGGAACAAAATGTGACCTTGGCAAGGTATAGTCAGTTTATAATTACATTCTATTACAATTAAGTGAAATGAGGCCTTTGTTTCAGTTGGAAGCCCAAAACGTGGAGTTCCCAACCCTTTTACTTCAAGACTGGTCAATAAGCAACTCTCCCTAACACACTAGCAATACATCAATATTCTCACAAATATATCAAAAAAACTGTTTGAAAGGCATTTAGAAAAATAATATTGAGATCTTAGGGGGTGAAATGGGTAGATAGGGGCACATAGTATACAAGTTAAAATATTGTTTTCTGAAATTCATCTGTGAACAGGTAGATTCATAATAACAAATGAAATATTCTTCAGATTAAAAGACTGCGACTCCAGAGAGTCTGTGTATGCATGCATTAACCTAAATATTACACAGCATCATTCAACGTTCCAAATTTCAGATTCTGTTACATGTACTTCAAAGCCTTGAAAAATAAAATGAATGAGCATTGCGACAAGGAGCCTTTAACAAAAGACTTCATACATACAGTGTATTAAAAGAACAATTATAGGAAAGAAACTAAATTGACCAGAGATTAAGACTGTCTCAGAAAAATTACTCAGAAAGTTGTCAATTGCAGTCTGTACTGAACTCCAAAAACAATACTAAACAAACTAAATTGGAACAAAATATCTAGGTTTAGAGAAATGAATGTGGTCATAACCTATCCACATCTTCCTGAGGCCTGGCAATATATGAACTTTGACCTTTGCAGCCTATGCTAGGTATTGAGATTCCACTAACTGAAACCCTGACATTCTTAAAACCTTACAACCAGTATGTATGTAGAGAGAGTCTCAAACAAAAAAATGACAATAAAGAGAGAGAGAGTTTGTTCTTGAAAGAGTTGAATGTCTATACCCACTTACATCTTCCTGGAGCCTGGCAATATATGGATTTTGACATTTGCAGCTTGTGCTAGGCATTGAGATTCCACTTACTGAAAAACTTGACATTTTTAAAACCTTACAACCAGTATGTATGAGAGATAACTGATTTTTGACTGATATAACATAGACAGTTACTTCTTATGGCCCCTCTCAAGTTAAGCTCTGAAAGCTTCAGTCACCATTCAGTTCTGCTAATGCCATAATTTTTTGATGTTGTTCAGTTAAGAAGCAGATTCTCTCCAACTTGGCTATAGTTGTTTTGCATTCCTCTGACTTTGAATGTCAAGTGTGCCAGAGAAAAGAGAAAAGTAAATCCCTGCTCGAATACAGACACAGTCCTCTGGTGGTTACAGCCGACAACCGAAATGGGTCTGGCCTCCAGGTTTGAGACCTATTTAACGGCTCAGTGCACGTATCAAATAAAAAAAAAAAGTAGGAACCATAAAGCATAAAAATAAAAACGATACGAGCATATCATTGCCGAGGTACCAAAGGGTAAGACCGAAGTATGGGCAATCTGCACTGCACCTCTCCTCGGGACGCAAAAATAAACAAGCACTGAGAGGAGCGCACAAAACTCTCCAGCCTTCTCTGGGCTGACTGCATGAGGTTTGAATCCTCACAAGGGACTCAAATTCTAATGTTTTTTCTTTCACTATCCTACACAAGATACCATTAGCTCTCTGTGATCCAACTTGTCCATTGGAAGTGAAATGTCTTCTTCTGAAACACGATCCTCAAGCTGAAAAAGAGGAGTGCTTGAAGTAAATGACGTGTGCTTATAACCCAGTGGCAGATCTAGGGGAGGGCCCCCCTCCCTTATTTTGGGTAATGAAATAAATGCAGAGGGAAGAAAAGCCAGCACAAAAATACATGTACAAAACAGTTGGTTTCGCCCAGTGACCAAAAAGCAGTCACTCGTAAGCTGTACCATGCATTAAGATTACATATTTTGAAAAAGACCTGACAGGCTGAAACCTACTTTCAACTGAAACAATTGTAGCACAAGAAAATTTTGGTAACAACTGACTAGTCTACATATGAACAGTTGTTCAGTTTGGGACTGTACCAAGTGATGAGAGTCTATGTTATTGGAAGATTTTGTCATGTCTATACCCACTTTCAAAGAAAACAACAATATCACAAAGTTAAAAAATGTAAATGTAACAGAAATGTAGTCACTTGTAATGATCCAGGAGCTTTAAGATCTGACTAAAACTCTGTCACTTACAACTCAAACCTTGCAGAAAGATTCCACATTTTGAAAAACCTGACATACTCAAACCTACTTTCAGTTTAGAAGCCATACATTCAAATGCATGAAAATTGTGTGTAAAGCCTGTCTTGTCTACTTATGTATAATTTGCCAAAACTTTTTTTGACACTTGTCTCTGGAGCCTGAACCAAGCATTGATACTCTATATTCTTTATATATCCTTAAGCATATCTTATTTTACTTTGGACTGAGTAAATGTTTATCAGAAAGCCAAAAAATGCTTAGTAAAAATAATGTGGTCACTCACAATGATCCAGGAGCATTAAGATGACTAAAAACCTCTCACTTGTAATCTGCAACTTGTATGGAATTTCCACAATTTGGAAAAAACCTGACATTCAAGAAGCTACAACTCATGGCCAAAGTACTCAGTACCTGCTCTCCCCTTACTTGGTGGTTGACAACCTTACACTTAACAAAGTAAAAAGTAAATCTTGAAATAAACTCCTTAATAAGTTTCTGGCAAGTCCCACCTCCCCCCCTTCCCCAAAAAAAAACAATGTTGCCTGAAACTCTGAAACTAGTCACCATTTTGCAACACCAGGAAGATTCAGCATATTTGATTGATATTACTCATCACAAACTAAAAAATGGTCAACCAGACCAGCTATTATTAGGGAGATGACAATCAGTTAAGAATTAAGACATATTTTAATCCTAATTGCAATGCAAATTTTTCCTTTTGCCAAACTTTCAAAAGTGTCCTTGATGTTTATGTTCATAACAAGTATCATGTATGATTACTTAAAAGTTTTAAATTCAAAATACAATCAAGGAGGGAAGCTTACATTCCTTAAATGGCACTGACATGAGGTTTTTAATGACCATACTCCAGTATTCATGCGAGCTCAATGCCACAACTGCTCTTTAGGTACCCCATATCTATCAAGGCCTCCTTACTAAAATGTCTTTACCCTAATAAGCCCACTCCTCTCTCCTCCCACTAAACAAAAATTTTACAGTATTGGTTGTATTGTTATTGATTTGACTGTATTAAATTGAGCTTATCTTGTTATTCATTCCTTTCTAGTCAAAATAAAATGTATATATCCTCCACTGTTGAAAAGTAACCCGCTATTTCAAAAAAGTCCAATAGTAGAAGTTTTCCCGCCACAAAAGGCCTCCGTGTTTCCTTGCTTCCAATTACACTTGAGTCTTCATTGGTACTCGCCAGCGTTAGCTAGGCCCAGTACACTCGGTACAGTGTATATCACAACGAGGTACAATATCAACAGGAGGTCCTTCCAGGTTTGGTATAGGATAATCGCGCGCTTTTTTTGAATCTCAATTCTGTTGACGACTCTGTTAACAAAGCATCCGAACGAAGCGATTGTTGTCTGGTTATTTTACAGTTAATTCAGGGTTAGGGAAAGTAAGCGAAGGAAATGGTAGAAAGACGAGTAAACGCGGACAAAATCAAGATGATAATGCGGTTCCAGCGGCAATTAGAAATAGTAACATGTCCGAAGAATGCATCGTACTGCTGGAGGAATTGATCCGCAGCAAGCGGGCTCTGGCGAGCGAAAATGAAAAGCTGCGGCAGCAGCAAGAGCGCAGCAACAAATCAAACCTAGAGGCTCTTCAGCGGATTGAGAACCGTCTTGAAACTGGTGATAATGGAGCCAAAGTCCGTCGGCGCCAAAATAGACAGAAGCGAAGGACGATAGTAGTTCCACCAGCTTGTCGAGTGAGTAGAAAAACTTAACTGATGAGCATAAATAATGTGATATATGTTCATGATTTGCTGAATTCAGTTCTGTTTCGTGGAAGATTTGCTTTTATGTTGAGTACGTGTTTGGCGCGCAAATTATATGCATAACTCAATTATTTAGACGGTAATCATTTAGCATAGTTATGTGTGGTTACATTTGCTTGATAATCCCCTTTACCATAAACAGGTCTACCAGAAAGGTTTTTTCCTCCCTGTTCTTTCAACGAGATTAATCCAGTATGAAAATTCATGTTATTATCTTTTCTCTTGAACCCTTTTCACTTTCCCTGTTTTAATCACACAGATGAGTAAGGTTAATTGTACTTGTGTAAAAGGGTGGAAGTAGAAATAGGGGAAAGGTGAAAAATTGATTGTTGAAATTATTTCATTCTTTTAGAGAGCCGTGAGAAGGATATATAAACTTCTTTTAAAAAAAGACGACTTTAGTGGATTTTATCTTGACGAAGAGTGAGTAACATGTTATTATATTCAAAGATATTTTACTTTATATTGATTAAGCCGTGAAATCAGAGTCTAACCTGCTGCTAGAAATATTGAGATGTTATGTGAATACCTTATTGTTGTTGCTTTTGTCTAAGTGTTAATACTGTTACAACAGAATACGTGGCTTAATCACAGTGTTTGTTCTTGTCTCAGAGAAAATTCTGATAGCAACTATGGAATTTTTGAGCGCACAGTAGAGCAGGTTGTACATCAACAGGGAGGACCTGAAAAGAGTCCCTGGACAAAGGATATCATTGAAGGTAGCTATCAATAATCATAGCAAATGCATTTCACTTTCATTGGGGAGTCATTATGCTTTTTTGCAGTTGGGCATAAGAATTTGGCACTTAAGCGTATTGATGTATATCTCTTTTATAACAATTCGAGTTTCACTGAAGGCCTTGGCTTAAAAACATCCAGACAAAATCGCACTCACAGTTGGTCAATTTGTCTAGAGCCCAGTCCTTAAAGATACCCCTGCTTTTAGTCTGTACCATCAGTTAGTGTCTTTAACCACTTTTCCCTAAACAAAAATTTCATCATAGAACTAGCATTCAGTAACACAGTTAGATATCATGCAACTTCTAATGAGCACCCTCATTATATGTTTCAAATTTAGGACAAGAGGAAGGGTATATTTTTAATTTTTACATAATAACTTTCTCAAATGTTGCAGAAATTTAAATATGTTGCAAACTAGAACTTCCAGGTTAATTTCTTGTCTCTGAGACACTAAGTTCAGTGTAAATCCTAAACAAAGCTTACTTCACACCTTAGCAATGAATCACCAAGGACATACTGCAAATTTATATAACTTGGCAAATATTCCTATGTGGCCAGCCATAAATGATTATAAATTTGAAAATTGTCATTTATTTATATGGGAATCTTTTTATAATCAAATTCTCATGGCATTTTGATAATTATTTCTTTGAACAGCTGCTTTACAAAGATATTTTAAAACGCGCCTAGAAACACATAAACTGAAGAGCAGTAATTGCTATGAGGCACATACACAAAAAACAAGAAAGAGTGGTCGCCAAAGAGAGGTATTTATTGGGATACTATTTTAACATTTCACTTTTCATATACCATGCTGTTCACAAACAACAGGGTCTGACAGATGTTCAGTGTTACCAGTGCACCATTGAGTACATTGATCAATAGGAGGGAAGATGTTTCCCACTGAATGCACTTTTTTTTTGCCACTTCAAAATTGGATGGCTTTGCATATAGACACTTTTAAGGGAGTGTCCTGTCAAAATTGAAATGAATTATGTATTCTGGTCTGTATCTAGAGCCTTCCAAGAAAATCTTTGTAAAGTAAATTTGGTAATTGTATAATATTATTTTAAAGATGGATCTGTAGTTGAGGAAAAGAATGAAAAATATTAAGATGTGATTTGAGATCAATGATAGCTTGTATGGGGCATTTGATGAAAAATAAAGGACAAGGAGACTCTTTAGTATAACATGCTTAAGAATTCCATTCTTACACTGTGTGCACATGCATATCAAGAGAAATTAGTAATTTGGATCATATTTTCCATTTGAGGACTCATAATACCCTTCTCATGCTTGTTGTATATTTTTGTTTTTTCAGATGTTAATGAGACGAACTACAGCCCTGGAGCTGGTCAACTGGGCTGACCAGCATGAAAAGGGGAGAGTGGCAGAGGTTCTTGTGATGGAGGCGATGAGCAGTGAAGAAAGCTGTTATGAGGATGATGATATAAATAACTCAAAAGTAACAAAATACTCTGTCCATCACCTTCAATGGGAGAGTAGAAGAATGAAAAAAAATAAAAAAAAAGACTTGATAAGGCCTATAAGAAGAAACTCACTTCAAGAGCTAAGGAGAGAATCTTACCCAGAGTTGATGGGCAACCTTCTCTGAGATGCCCACCAACTGAAAATTTTCTGGGGTGGGCAATAAGGCAGTAAAAAAAATTGTTTTACCAATTTATCAATTTGAAAATGTATAATATATCCAGATCATAAAGTATTAATCAGCCATGCCTAGAATGAAGGTCTTACATGCCTGCGTGAGACTTCTTTTTTATTGAATATGTTAATTAGTAATTTTAATGGTCTCATTATATAAAGTAAGTAATTGTGAATTCTTTAATTTTATATTTAATTTCCTCCATATGAGATACTTTTTTCCATATTGATGTACAGGTTGGCAAATAATTGATAGCTATTGCAAATTTAAATTGATTTAGAAAAATGTACTGATTTTTTAGATTGATAGGTTGAACTTATTTTTTATTGTTAGTATCAGTTCAAATTGCATTTCTAAGTGGCTGGATTTGAGAGTAAAATTTGTGAATTAATAGCTTTTTGTGTAGTGTGTTGCTATAGCTAGTTATATTCTGTACTTCTTATATTTTTATAGTGATAAAGATTCTATTCTATATAGATGACTGAGATTATATGAATTATACATTAATGAAAGAGAAACAATCTTAATAAAGTATGACAATTAGTAATTCAAACATTTGGACGTCTCTTTTTTAATTATGTATGTGCCTCAAATGACATATCCTCAGCTTTATTGTGGGTTTACTTTGTCTCAGGGGAGGAAGTGAGTTTTGAATGAAACTATTTCATCACTGCAATTTCAAACATTCTGTAATTGCTTGTATGTGTGATGTCTCTTTTTCTAACAATTTAGAAGTTGCCCAAAATATTATAAGTTATCATAATATAAATGTGGGTGTGGTTAAGCAAATCAAAAGTCAATTTAAGGTGAAACCTGCAGCTTTTAGAGGCACTTAAAGGTCACTAAATGATGAATGTTAGCAAAACTTGAAATTTAAGAGAACCTGAAAGTACAACTAAAAATGAATTACAACAAAACCTGCAACTTTAAGTAGTACTTAAAGGGAAACAAAAGATTAAAGAAACCTTTAAGATGCCTTTACAAGTAGAAGTTTTGGCAATTAAAGACGAGTTTACGAGAATTGGGAGGATTCTTAAAGTCAATTAAATGGTTATTTAGGTTTACTTTCATGTGATCCTAAAGTGTTCATCAAATGGTTCATAAGGAGACTTTAATTGACTTCTGAAAGTTCAATTAAAGATTCATTTCAGAACTTTCGTATGTCACCTAAAGATGTCTTAAATACTTCTAATGTTAACCTTTAAGTTACCTTTAAGGAAACTTAATTTAGAGGCGCTATTTAAACAAAAGCGGTGGTTCAAAACGAAAACAAACGACCGCGTTGGCTCAAGGTTGGAAATGGGCCTTTAACTTCAGCTTATAAAGTGATGAAGTGTGAAACTGACACTTTTTGTAGTTTATGAAAACTCAAAGTCAGAGCCGCAATCAGAATCTTCGGCATCCAAATCTGGCAGCTACAAGGCTTTGGAGATTTCCTCTACCTCTTCCTCAACAGAATAGAATAACTGGGCGTCATCATCAGTTGCCTGTACACCAACATCATGTAAAATTATCACTGGAACATCCTCATTTGCAGATCCTGGACCTGGTGGTGGTGCTGTGTTGAAAACCTTTGGAGGGCGCTTGCGACGAGGTTTAGCTGCTAACCAGGACGAAACAGCCGAATTAAGAACAAGTCCCTGTAAGAATCAAACATCTTGGGGAATGAAAATTTCCAACCTCCCTTCAAATTTTGCATGCAGTTAGGCGCTCAGGGGGGATGCACAAAAATACCCTTTATAAAGGCCGCAGCACTCTTGTTGCCATGGTAACAGCGGCTGCTTGTTCGAGGCCTAGGGCCTCGTTTTCACACAAAAACGTCGCAAAAAAGAGTGAAATTTTTATTTCTCTATCTCAAGCTAAATAAAACATAACAAATTGGCACTTCTATCATACATAGTAACATTATTCGTCTCTACATTGATTCATTCAATTTTCCCTGAGAGTGAATGTGAACACAGCAATAGATTATTCATCTCGGTACAGTTTCGGTCATTTTTGTTGTCGGGTAAAACAGGGAAAACGTTTATCTGAATTTCTCCAAAAGTGCACCGATTCTGCAACTGAAACTACCCACCTAGCTGGTTATTAAATACGTAAAAATCTCTGCGGGCCTGCCTCTACTTTTTATGTGGGAAATTCGCGAACAAAGCTCAAAATCAGATATTGCATAATTTGGCGATGTTTACATCTAATGTTCTCAACAATAAATGTTTCAGAAAAATGAAACATTCAAGGCTTTGAAAGAATTTTATCTTATGATCTACACGAAACTATCCTCACACCGGTCGCCGGTCACCTCTGCGATACCGGTGCACCGGTATCGCAGGTCATGGGTTCAAATCTCGTACAGGCCTGAATTTTTTTCAGGTCCTATTTACAACTACTCGTTTCAGTTGTTTTCTTAGCTGCGAGGATCTCTTAATTTCATCAATTTGAATTTGTCTGTCAATCTTCTTAGTGATGCCGGTGCTACATCTATTGCTGAGGCAATCAAGGTCAACAAGACGTTAACTAATTTGAATTTGTTTAACAGTGGTATTAGTGATACCGGTGCTACATCTATTGTTGAGGCAATCAAGGTCAAGAAGACGCTAACTAGTTTGAATTTGTCTCGTAATCGTATTAGTGATACCGGTGCTACATCTATTGCTGAGGCCATCAAAGTCAACAAGACGCTAACCAATTTGGAGCTTGTACGGCAATGATATTGCCAGTGCTGCATTTGTTGCTGGGCCAATCTAAGTTAGTAGGAAGCTAACCAATTGGCATTTGTCTTAGAATAGTATTAGTGATGCCGATACTCCTTTTTATGCCGAGGCAATCAAAGTCAGCAAGACTCTGACCAATTAAGATTTGTCTAACAATGGTAACAAATGTGAACAAAGTTGTGAGTGAGTTGAACTGACTTTTCCTTTTGTACTTTTCCTTTTAAGTAACGTTTTTTAAATTTTCCCTTTTGCAGATGCAGGAAGGAGCTTTTTAAATTGTCTTTAGTTGCTCTTTGATTAGATTACATTCAAGTTATAATAGCTACCTTTGTGATGTTTTTTTAGTTTAAGGTGATGCTTATGCTTCTGAGGTATTTACATTAGACGAAAAGAAGTGTAAAACGCCATTGTTTTTAGAGTTTTGTCATGAAAGGAATATCATAAGCATGTATCATCCACGAGCAGCAATATTTTTTCCATTCTTTATATGCCTCGAGCGCCTCTCTTTCAATATAAACCAAAGCAAAAAAAAGTTTACAGACATTGTTTTTTATTTCTATTTCGATCTGCACAGCCATTAAATGAAATTTGACCACTGGGAGGTTCCTAAAGGGGAGGTGTGCGGGGAAAGGGGATGGGTGGGGACACAACAGGGGCGAGGTAAACAAAGTGTGCTGTGGATAACTCTTAAAGGGTAATGTATTGCCAGCGGATGCTTGTTTCCACACAGATCTGGGGCCTAATTACGAGTTATTAGATGTGCCATTCGGCAGGCGAGGACGCATAGCCCCAGAAATGAAGGGATGATTGTCGGTTTCCCATGCAGGAAGATCTGGATTTGTACCAATTATAGATTCTTTGCTAAAGAGACTGGCAGTTAGAGCTTGGTCAACAGATTGTAACCAAATCATTTGAACAAATTTTATAAGGAACTCTCTGAAAGATAGAGCTGATAAAGTCTTTTCACTTTCATCAGAAATAAAGACGACGGATTTGAAACGTAAACCGACATCCTCGAAGTCATATAAAATACTTTTAAAAAATTAATAGATTCTAAAATAGAACAGGACCCAGTTGTTCAAAGGGCGGATAACGCTATCCAATGAATACATCGCTATCCAGCGGATGTGTTAACAAAGAATGCTGCACCATCCATCGGATGGAGATTTATGCAGTGGTTATCGTTATCGAACGAATTGGCGGAAGAAACAGAAAAGTAGTTTTCCTGGCTTTTCATTTTCATTATCCGGGAAAAAACAATCTAGATTGCAAAAATAAAGTGAAAAGCAAGCCAACTGTCATTAACGCCTTGAACAACTAGAAGTCAAGATACTTTTTATGGTCAAACAACAAATTAGCAAACGTAAATATCATTCTTCTTGATGCCTCTCGCGGTGTCACCGATTTCTTTTCCCGATGCCTCCGTTGGTTAATATAGCGGTAAAAAATATTTTTACAGTCAAAGCGTTTGGAAAATTCCTTAACTTTTTTAATTAGCTAAGTATAACTTGGTGACACCACGGCTTTACAACACGATTCTTTTCCGCAACTACAAATGATTTGTCTCCATATGAATAGTTAAAACTTTCTCCGCTGACCACTCACATGTCGGACTGTTTTTCTTTCCCAGCTCGTCGCCCGTGACATATGAGTAAATGGGTGAACTTCATTTAAAACAGGATGGCCACAGCTACGAGGCTGTTGCCCAGAGGGGCCCTGTATCCACCTAAAATCATTACGATATAATCAATTACGATAAACACTCGTGGTTTAAAAACTTATGGTCTCAGAAAAACTGAAAAAATGAAGAAAAAACTAATTACAATATCACATGTAGTAACTCCCACTCCCAACCGCATCGTCTGGAAACAAAGCTTCAAGAACAGCTAGAAATTTCTTGTAGATCGATTTAGAAGTTCGGACAAATCAAGGAATTTGAAGAGCAATAATTCGCTTGTTCATGCAATGCACAGTTAAGTAGACATGTTTCACAACAAGGTGAACAATATAGAAAACGCTTGCAGTATCGGCACTTTTCCTTCGTTGTTTTGGTAGCCATTTTGGAAATGTAGCCGGGCGTCTTTATGGTAGATAGCTCATGTGTGATCTATTATAGAATAGTGTATACGCAAATACGTTGGTAATAAAATGAGCCGTCCACTGTTTACAACGCTGGAAAGTATTGTTGGACGATTACCGCTTGCTAACAAGGCTCTCCAATTGATTTATTTTTGAACCGGGTTCATATTTCCGGGTTATATTTCCTTAAGATTATGCCCGAAGAGAGATTATTTAGTGCAACATAATCTACAAGATCTTTGCTTCTTACCGATCGCGCCATGTTTTTGCAACCTAACACCTTCGAGCATCACTGTCACTGCTCTTCATATTTAAGAATAAGGTCGACTTTCCCGGGTATCCTTCGCGAAAAGAAGATACTGTTAACGCCTAGTTACAGCGTAACCACCATAAACTATGTATCAGTGGCAAAGTTATAAAATGCGCTATCTGAGAAAATCAATTTCCTTTTAGCTTGATCTAATCGTAAACCGACTGAGGTGCAAAAGTTCCAATTAAACGATGTTTCTTTGAGAAAATCGGGTATTGACACTGACCGCACATGTAAATTTCTGCACAATTCCAATACTGAGGGGTTAGTCTTCAAAATAGTTTAGGGATTTTTTCGATATCGTTATTTGTTGCTTTGCAATTCTCCAGTCCAGTTTGCTTATCAAAATTTTACTGATTTCGAAAAACAGAATTCCTTCATACAGATTTTTTATAGTTTGATATCTTGGGAGTATTTTGACCAAATTTTAGGGCAATTCGTGAAATTTTCATGCCTTATAAATTTCTTCAAAGAAGGTACGTTTGCAGAAAAACGAGATAGGTTTTTTGCATCCAAAGTTTTAGAGGGGTAACCACATGTGGTTAGATGTCAGTATCTGTGCAAATGCATACCTACCCTTCCCCTAAGAGAACGTTGACCATAACTTGTCGTCAGTTGACTTTTGTTGGGTCGTTTGAGGGGTAGGTGCTCAGTTGTTCACATAATTTCCTGATTATACCCAAGCAATAATAATGTAAGCAGCAGAAATGGAACTACTGCTTGCCAAATGATACGGTCCTGGATGATATTAAAAAAAAAAGAATAACTGTCTGATGAAATAATACGCACCTCTCGTTTACCTTCGTCCATGGCGGCACTACACAACATCAGTCGTGTTTGCCTAATTTTTACGGCTACGGTTCTTCCAATACGTGATTGTGAAAACGTTTTTTAATACTGGCTGGAGGTACAGCTTGCATATTTAGTCGACTTTGCCCAATATTTACTATGGTTTGTTCCACATATTACTTTTCTGCACTCCAAACGAGTCGCACACTCCTTGGAATTATTTTCACGAATAAATTTACGTTTTCTTTTTTGTTTATTTCGTCTTGTACCTCTAGCAGGTAGGAATTTTGAAATCAGCGAAAGAAAGCAATTCTGCCGTGCAATCACCATTTAGTAGAAAATATGGTGGTTATTGCTCCTTGGAAAGCAGAAATGTGAGTCTTCTGTGTCTTTTATTTCATTATATTTGTATAAACAAACACATTCTGCACAACTATTTTCCCAGCTTTGGTCCTATTTTTTTTCTTTTTTAACTATTTACTTTTTCGCCTCACGGAGGCAAAGGTCACAGAAAACTGGCTTCTACAGGCTCATGGATTAACATATCTTCAAACATTACGATAGTGTAATGATAAGGTTTGTCACCTTAGCATTTTTTCTTCGCTGCTTATCAGATGCATGCCTGTCAGTGCCCTGATGACAATCATACACACGCTTTCTAGTGATAACAAAAGGAATTCCATCATATGTGATCCTTGGTTGGAACATTGCAGTCTGGGAATCTTGAAAAAATACTTTTATTCTTTCATTTCCACATTCTCTGTGACAAACCAAGGGGGCATTGAAGAGACATTCATTCATTCAGTCATTCATGTATTAATTTGGTCTCTTAGTTAGTCAGTCAGTCAGTTAGTCAATAAGTCTGTGCGATAGGCATCTACTACAAGTATTGACTTTTGGATCATATCTGAAAAAGGGTATTAAAAACCATATCTAAACCCCTCCTTTTATCGGGCTAGCCACCACATTTTAGCTATTGAAGATCTGTAGTGGTTTTATTTTTTTATTCCATACCGTGTTTTCCAATTTTTGCGAAGAAAAAAAATTAGGTGCGTAAGTGAATTACACATCTGTGTTGGAAACTGTACGATACGCTAGTTATTCTTAATTTGATTGACATTTATGAGTGATTTCGTTTATCTATACATAACCAAACAAACATGTATGCGACACGTGTTTTATAGCGCCATATATGGCACTGTTCCACGTGCTTACAACGGAAAGTTGGGCGTGTGTTTCTTTAGAATAAGTCGAGAGTTGTGTGTGGGAGTTAACCCAAGCGTTGTAGTAAAATCGTAAAATCAAGTGAATAAAAATTTTAAAATAAGGAAGCATGGTATAGCTTTTTCATGTTTTCGACACACCTGTCTTTTTCAAAATCAAAATAAAGAGCATCTTTAATTTGCGATTTTTATGGAATGTTTTTTAATCCCCTTTTCCCTCTTGGTCTCCCCATAGCCCCTAACATTCCCCTTCGTAACCAGAGTTCATTTAAGGCGCCCCTTTGACTTTAGACTTACCTTTGCCAACACCGTAGCAGTAATACATGACAAAGCTAGTTGTTGTTACCACTTCGTGTGCGTGCAGTAGCTTCTCGGCTGATTATAGGGACTTCAAGATGCAGGCTCCACCACGGCGACTGGAAGTGTACACTTAAAACCCATCGGACTGCGCTTGTCTAAGGCGGGAATTCACGCCGTAATCTTGTCATCTGTTACGGCAAAATCGCTACGCTCCCGTAGTGGTGAATACGTCAGATTTGCCAAAATATTTTGTTTGAGGTCTTAATTATTTGAATTTTTTTCTTGTGATTAAATTGATTACGTCTCTTTACCAGTTGATAAATCATAGCTGAACGAAATTTGGTCAAAATTTATCTGTGGAAAAAAGATGTCAAAACCAGGACAGCTTTAGGTTCCGCCGCCAACACTGCCAAGCGGCAATCGTAAGTATTTTTTTTTATCATTTTTGTTCGTTTTATTCTTTTTGACTCAGTTGAGCTCTTCAGTTTGCTTTTCCGGCACTAAGCTGATGGGTGCTGATTTTTACAACAGGCCAATTTAAAGGACAACAGCGTACGACGTGTTGTTGTGCAAAGAAATTTTGGTACAAGAGTTTTACAAGTTCAGGAAAGGAAGCAATGAAAGAGGAAGAATTTGGACACAATTTCCGAAAACTTCAACAGTGTAACTGCAGTCAAATTCAAAGTAAATCAATGGACGGTGAGAGAGAGATTTGACTTGCTAGTCTGAAGATTTCGATAGCAAAGTAGAGAAAAGGCAAAAGCAGTGGTGCATCTCCCAAACCAACAAAGCTCGGCGTACTGTTAGAAGAAATTTCTGAGCGAGAAACTAGAAAAGTCAGAAAAGGAACTTAAGATCCGTGAAGAGGAGCTCACTTTGAAAGCAAGAGAAGTTGAAAACGAAAATGGCTTTTTTACAACAACAAACACAGGCTATGATGGTGTTGTTATAAAGACTTGCGAAAAAGTAATAACTAATTCCCCAACACAGATGACGATGCATTGATTTACTCTTCCTCGTAAATTTATTGCAGCTTCAAGTTACTGATTTTGTTTGTAAAAGTCAATTTGCATTTTCTGTTTTTTTAAAGTAGGAGTAAATTCTGTTGGGTTCTGCAAATACGATTTCTACCTATTTTGTTAGAAATTTGTTCAGTGGTTTACACCATTCAAGATATATCTTAAATGAATAAATTATGTCAGTGCTCACAATTATACTTTCTTTGCATTCAGTTTGAAAAAAACCATAGTATTATGCAAAGTAAGTAAAAAGGTCGGGGGGGGGGGGTTACACCGAAAGAACTCAGAAGTGTTATTTCCATACAGGCAAGTAAGGCTGTTCCTTAAAAGTGCGCAAACGATATTGTTAGAGGTTATATCTAACACTCGTTCTGTTAACTATTTTTTCATTCTCTCCTTTTTCTACACAAGTTACTATAACGGGAACTAGCTCAGATCTCTCAAGGAAAGTGTGGGTCACCGCTTAAAAAGGTGACGCTTACTGAGCTATCAATCTCTAACCTCCGTCATCCTTTTATTCTTAACGAGTGAATCACGTTAAGCTATGCAGAACGGAGTTCACATACTAAGTAGGAATCATTTTCTACCTTGAATTTCTGACTCTTGCGGTCAAGGTTGGTCATAACTAAAGCAAGATTGGTAATATGAAAATTCAAATGAACTTACTGACAGAATTAGAATCTTAATTGAAAAGACATCTTAAGAGAAAATAGTCCTCGAAGACTGCTACATAACAGCAGAATAAACAGAAAATTCGGAGAAGAAAGGGCTGACGATTCAGACCTAGGGGGGACGGAACACTAGATTTTGATCTAGAAACACTTTCTTTTCTTGTTTCCTCTATATATTGGACTCTTTCAGCACTCGTTATTCTTGGTCTTCCTTTTTCATTCCAGGACAGGTAAATATGTTGTGATCGTGCGGTTTTACATAACCCATACTAGACTTTTACCGTCCGTTTGCGAAATCTATGCTCCACTATGTAAAATCACACATATACAACAGCTAAATTTTCTTTACAACTTCAATAAATTTATTTTATACTCCTTCTTTTCCGCAGTCGAAGTTGAGTTTTTGTAATGAAAGATCCTGTCAGAGCGTAGATATTTCAACACAAATTCTGTAATTCCTATGATGAAATTTTTTAGGTAACCAGCTGTTCTTTCTGTTGTGGCAACGTTATACCTTTTCTTGACCATAAAGCGTTGACATGAAGTTAGTGTTGTTTGTTAAACTTCAAATTTAAGTTCCATTCAATCAGGTTATATTAAACTTTTTGACTTTTACTTTTTGTTACCGATATGACGTTGACTAGAATTTGCTTTAGTTAATTTCCAATGTACTAAAAGAAGTGATTGCTTCCGGCCAAAAGTAGATTTAGCTGAGCGACACTTAAACAAATCATTTCCATATAAGGTTGTATATTAGATGATAACCGAAACTGAGAGAATCAATAAGAACACTAGAAATGCAACATCATGATTTTGAAATTTAATGGAAATAGATAGTTAATGAGCGCGTACGACTTTTATTCAGCTGCGACTCATACCTGCCACCTTCCGTTCAGTACTTCGGACACTCTAACGCTTAGATACAGTAGACTTGTGGCAAGCTAGCTCGATTAATCATGTCCATGGAGATAAACTTCCTGCATGTTGCGAGCATATGATTACTGATATGAGATTCTTGCTCGCAATGCTGCATTCATTAGATTTCCTATTCATTTTACTGCTGTTAGGTATTTTTGATCCAACTGAGCTTATCAGTGGAATTCGCCAGCTGTACAAGACTCGCGAGGGGTGGCTCTCACCATTTCCATGGTGTGAAGAGTTTCAGTTTTTTCTTGGCAATATTTTTACAAGGCTCAAAGTGGTCAGAAGAAAGAAAACGAGAGTAGAAATCACTGACGTATTTGTTGACATGTCGTCAATACTAGACCCGTATCAACAGTGTTCAGCGCCGAGAACAGTGTTGATTGAAGGAGAACCTGGTATTGGAAAAACCACCTATTGTAAAAAGTACGCTGACGACTGGGCCACAAAACAGCGAGAGCCTCAGGGCTGCGGCTCAACAGCATTTAAAGTGGTATTGTTGCTGAAATGTCGAGATATCCACTCTGACGTTTGGGAAGCCATTGATGATCAGCTGCTCCCCCAAGACATCGATGAAGAAGTGAAACAACTATTCTTTCAGTTTATTCGTGAAAATCAGTCCAGCATTTTATTGATATTGGATGGATTGGATGAATTACCATCCAGTAAATTGTCGATTTTTTCCGAATTAATCCAAGGAAGAGTGCTCCCCAGGTGCCACATAGTTGCAACAACAAGACACGAAGCTGGAAAAGAGGTGAGAAAATGCTGTGACACGCTGCTTCAGATCGAAGAATTTGCTGTAGACCATGTGAAAGGATTTATCAGCAAGTACTTCAAAGAAAGGCCGGATTTAGCCATCAAGCTCTCAAGACGGATGTCGCGAGATAAAAACCTGAGAGAAATGGCAGCCAATCCTGTAAACACAGCACTTCTTTGCCTTTTATGCGAAGAGTTTGAGGGCACACTCCCCGAAAACAGAGCTCAACTGTACTTGGATATGGTCGAATGTGTTTTGAGAAAATATAGAAAAAAGAAGGGACTATCAGAAACAAACGAAAACTTGACCAACTTTTACAAACCGGAATTGAATTGCCTCGGGTTGGTAGCGTTAAATGGTTTACTTGACGACAAATTGGATTTTAATGAAAGTGAGTTGGGAAACCCTGCAAAAGGCTTGACTGCATTTGGATTTCTCTCAGTGCAGCCTGGTGGCAGCAAATTGAGTAAAAAACTTCATTATGCTTTCTTACATAAAAGTTTTCAAGAATTCTTTGCTCAGCATTCTCTATTTGTTCTCAGATTCAAAGCAAGGAAATTAAAGCTGAAGAACTAGTTTCCGATCCAAGGTATTTCGTGGACTTAAACAAATACTTTTGTTCTCATGTGGAATTTGAGCTATGGAGTTTAACGAATGAAGTCAACAAAAATGAAGGCCGTGGTACAAAAATTGCATTAGAGGTCTCAATTTTCAACGGTACCTGCCTACTTTAAAGGGAGTGCCCATCTACTTCAAAGTTATTTAAACCATGTTAAATTCCTCTTGTTTGTTTCGATCTGCGTCCCCCCAAATAATCCCATAACCGCTTGCGGCGCGACTTCGTTCCCAGGCTATCACTCTTTTCCAAAGTGGGCTATCGCCTGATTTCAAACCGTGAAGGTCTAGGTACGAGTCTCTAAATTATGGGATTAGCAACTAATGATTCACAAAGTCAGAAAGAGCACACCGAGATTCACAAGATTCCTAAGTTTGGTGATTTAAAAACGTCAAAATTTACAAAGAAATGTATGGCATCCGGAGGCCGTGTCGGACAGCGTCCGGATTGCCATACATTTCTTTGTAAATTTTGACATTTTCAAATGGCTGTATCTTGCTTACGTTTGGGTCTATTTACACCAAACTTGGGGATTTTGCAAAGCTTCGTCTGCACTTTATGACTATGTGGATCAATAGTTGCTAATCCTATAATTTACAGACTCGTACATAGTCCTTCACGGTTTGAAACCAGGCAATGGCTCCCCTTGCTCATGTTTTTCTTTTCAGCTGTCTTTGCTGAATTGTTTTGGAAATAACCCAACCCTCCCCCCGCCCCTTTAATTAAGAGTCTCCTGTTACCCTGACCGCAAAGCAATAAGAAGGGAAGACGCAACAACTACAGACTGACCCACACGAAAGAGTGCAATTTTATTTCTTTTTTTCTTACAAAGATATTATACATAAGCCAATAAATTTGTGTAATTTTAAGCTGTAGGTAAATACAGTCTTCAGACAAATAGTTTTTAAATTCTCAAAATAAAAGGCTAACTCATATAATCCCATTTTATATTTGATTTTAATCTTGTTTACTCGGCGGCACGTGCGAGCAGAAGTTAGATCGAAAAAGCAATTAAAAAGTCATGTTCAAACGTCAGATTGAAAAAAAAATGTTGGAATTTTCCGGGCGTGGCTTCTATCCCGGGGGATCATAACTTGAAATATTTTTTTAGTAAGCAGGCATCCAGTCCTGTAATGATGGAGGTAGCCATGGCGTCCTAGACTAGGATTTTACAGTGTGCTGTATTAACAATAACGACAAGTTATTATGTAAACCTCCTCTGTTTCGCGTACAAAACAATCTTATCATCTTTAAGAGCGTTAACTATGAGTCTTCCTGAATATAAGGCAAGAAAAAGGAGATCTCTTTGCAATTTCACCAACAACTTCGAATTTTTCAAAATGCTAACTGTCAAATGAGAAATAGGATGTTCTTCGAAGGATACTGAGTTATCATCTGCAAAATTTATCACCCGCTAAGAAATAGGCTGAAATTGAAACTGACAGCTGATGAGAAATCGCCGAAAATGTTGCTGGTCACGCCCATGCAAAATACCCAATATAATAATGAATGACAATCATGATAAGTAATCGATATAAAAGAACTATCAACTTATTTATTAACCTGTGGGCAATGTTGTGGTGTTGAATAATATGTCTTCTACATCCATTGTCCTTAAATCAATTTCACTAAACGAAGCACCTGAAAAAAAAAAGAAAACATTAATAAAGGCATGTTATCTTGGACCCTCAAACAGTCTCATCTCAATCTTCCAAACATTTGTTAATTCTTTTTCAGTACATAGTTCGAGTTTGTAGCCGATAAAACGCGACCTCTCATTGGCTAATTCTAAGGTTCTAGGGCATTATTCTCCCATATTGCCCACGGACGATTATGGACTATAAAGTCATATGATAAACAACTTATTAACCTCAAACGTTTGGACTTTACGGGAAAATATCGAACCTCGGCTTTGCCGTATAATGAAATCGTTCAGTAAAATAACGTTTTGAAAGCAATAAGCTACCTCTTGACTCTACATAGGCCAAAAGACTTAAGCATAACTGATACAATAAAGTTCTCGTGAACTGAAAGGCGATCGGCGGATGACAGAGAGTAGCCTGTGATCATGCCCTCCTTCCCTGTAAAAAAAAAATGCCTGATCGCAGGTTAGAGAGAGAGAAGAGCGCAGAGCGCGATTAGGATCGAGTCTGCGTCACTACTTTTCCCTTTTCGCCGGTTTTCATTTTTGATTTATTCTCCATGGAATGCTGTGTCCGAAACTATTCGACACTCGGTGTTTCAAAATGTTAATGACTAACTTTTTGACTTGACTGAAGGCTTCAAAAGGCATCTTCTTATGAGTTCCAGTATGCCCTTCAGAATGAAATTGTTAAGCCACTGCACTCTTTATTTTATAACAATGTTGTTTTCCCAATCGAGGTTGAGTATTCTTATTTCTCTGCCGATTTTACGCTTACATCAGAGCGTGTGACATTTCTGTTTTCAAAGTGTCTGGATGATATTAGAGTAATTTTGGAGCCAGCCTACAGATATAGGGGAATCGAACATACGGCTAGTGGTATCTGAGTTGTTTTCTGGCCAGTTTTGCCGTTTAGAAGAAGTAAGGATTTTAAATGGTTTGATTAAAAACATGATTGTGTTGTATTTACAAATTTTCATCACAAATAATATATTCGTTTCGAAATCTTAGCCTGGGGTTAACATTTCGCAAATTTCAGCCTCGATATTCTAATAAAACACATTCTTAAAACAAAAATAGAGTGTACCATATTGGTAGCGGAAATTTCGAATCCCAAAGATCTGAAAACTTTTTTGCAGCCCCACTGCGAACGGTTTCATCATCTTCACTAATGTCCTTTAAGTATGTAACCGTGGATTTTTTTTTCTGAACATTTTAGGTCGTTCAATCATAGTTAATAGAGCGGAATTGTTATGAAACCCGACAAAGTTCTTTGTTGTAGGTTTTTGTTCGCTTTTTTGGCCTTGACCGTGCACAAAAATAACAGTTGTTTACTCTGTACTGAGGAACTAACCAATAGAAACTTACGTAACTCATGCATAATGTATAAGGCCAAAACAAAAGATTGTGCACGGTCGGGCACCTTCCAACCTAAATCTTGGCATCTTTGTTTGCTCCTTTGATGTTTGCCGGGTTTCATAACCATTCCCCTTTATTAGCTATGGTTCAATAAATCTCTTATTAGCCTGTCTAGACTTCAGGCCGGTGGCATTCTCGCGCATGCCGGGTTAATAATTCACTGTTAATCAACACAGCCAGATATATCGATTGACGTGTTTAGAAGCCAGAAATAAGGAATAATTCACTGTTAATCAACACAGCCAGAAAGCCATTAAATGGAAATATATCGATTGACGTGTTTAGAAGCCAGAAATAAGGAAAAGAAACACAATTAAGACCCCTTCCCTGGAGTTCTTCGTGTGTAAATTTGTTTCTGTGGAGTGTTAGGCCATTTCAAAATAAAAAAAATCGCCGAGTGGTACATTTATTATTTTCTTCACATTGTGCTTAATTTACACATTAATTCACTCTTTATGTTTCCAGAACAAATTTGAAAAGAATATAAAGCCCGGGGAGTACTCCCAGAAAAGTCGAGACTCTATTTATGGCTGAAATCCGCCATGGTCGCTACCCTATTTCTGACTTGACCAAAACCTCGACAGCCTATTTACGACCGTCGCCCGTTGCGGCTGGCAAAGTTGCACTAAACATGTTTAAGGCATTTGTTGATGGTCTTACCGATAATGATGAAAAAGTAGCTTCTTCTAAGAAACATACCCTGTGTAGAACCAAAAAGGCTAAAATCACCAAAACCGATATACTATTTCCGACCGAAACGACTGAAAATCCCTTCCCTTTAGAGCCGGACATACTTATATAGTCCATATAAGGGAGTAACCCCTCCCTGGGGGGAATAACGCTAGCTTTAACCTGGCACGTTTTTCTAAATTATGGTCTTTCTCAGTCTCGGCGTCCACGTGAAAAGGTAATTTGCACAGCCTCTTCAACGCGTGTTTGACAGAAAGTTTTGAAAATCTTTGCAAACAGCGAGTGGCGGACTACGCCGGAACATTCCGTCGTTGCGTCGCTCGTTGGCTCTACGCCGGCTCGTAAAAAAAGCAAAACTCGTGGTCCGCTTTCCAAACAAGAAAGAAACAAAATCGAAACCTCTTACTTGCTCAATGAGGACTAGACCTCTCACTAGACGATAAATGCCGCGTGTATGAACAGTCTCCACGACGGCATCGATCGCTGCTGACACTGATAGATATTTCCCCGGGATATTTACCTCTTAAAAGTGGAAGCCCGTCCTCACGGAAATAATTCTGCCTTCAATATCGGAATTACCAGTATGAAGCTGATCATTTCTTGAGGAAACGCAGTGAAATTCGTGACCAAGAGTGCATTAAGCATGTGCCATCTGTCAAGATTGCTGACTGATTCGACGCTGAGGGTAGCCTGCCTATTATTAAGTCTCCTATTTCTTTTCCGCGCAGTAGGTGATGGCTACACACCCAAGAGAGGTTGTAATCTTCACCAGTCATCTCGCGTGAGACAATTGAATGATTTTTTACGGGCCGTAAAATTGTCTATTTATGTTTTTAACTTTTATACATGTTTTTCTTTTTTTATCTCACAGCCAGCTCGATTTATGCAGATCGATAGTCAATTATCTTTAGTCTATAGATCCTTCTATATATAGCTAACGTAGCTGGAGGGGGTAAAGAAATTTGCGGATGGACGGATTTGCGAGTCACCTATTTACCCCCTCTAGCTGGTTTCGGCGGAGGAGCAGAGCACGCTATTATTTTGGGGCAAGGCGGCGAAGAAACTTTCGTGAGCTCTAATCACCATTCTTCTTGCCATTTTACCGCTCTGCTCGAAGGAAAAAATGGTAACGAATGAACCATGTGCTGGCTTTTCGGCCGGGGGTTTCGGCGGCCTCATTAAGTTGTAAACTGGTCAAACCGGTATTTT